TGGGAACATTTCAGTTGCGTTGCTGTTTATGCAGGGTCAGATTATATTCAGATTCCATCAAAAATATCTTAATTTGTGTTCCGAAGATGAACAAAGGTTTTACGGGTTTAAAATGACATGAGGGTGAGTAATTAATGACAGAATTTTCATTTTGGGGTGAACTAACCCTTTAATGCGGACCTTGCTACAAATGCAAACTACCTGCCCCAGACTCTTTAGGAAAACATCTAAAATACTTGACCAGACTTGACCATTTTCTAACAAACAAGATTATATGCTGGACCAGGAAAAAACAGATTATTTGTTTAAGGGCAAAAGATTCAAATAATCTGTGAGATTTAAAAAAGGCAGCAAGGTCACTGTAATGTTGTTTTTCAAACATAAAAAAAAAAGATATCTAAATATATTTAATTAAAATCTAAAAATGTAAATAATCATTTTTCAAACTGACAAATAAATAAACATCCAAAACTGTGTAATTATTGTTTAAAATGTAGTTTTGTTAACGAGTTGTTAATGAGAAAAATGAATAAGAAAAGCAATGTGTAAATGCACTTTAAATGTTTTAGCAAGTGTTTTTTACATTTAACAACATTTTTAAATCTGAATTAAACATCAAAAATCACACTATACAGTACATAAACACACTGTTATGTTATAGATCAAATTTGTTATTTTTTCCCCATACAATAAAACGTTTTGTGATCCTGTCTAATATTACAAGATCAGTTATTTGCGATGCAGGAAAGCTGGTGGATTCAATTCTAGTGCATGTCTGTTTATTCTTTTCATTAAGAAAAATGCTACAAAATCAGATATTCATCATGGAGCTGAAAGTGAGTTTTGTCTGAAATATGGCCTAGCAGTTGACATGTTGAGTCTTGGTGCAGGTGTCCTTCTTTTTTTTTTTTACATTCACTAAGAAAAATGCTACAAGATCACATATTTACCATGGTGTTGAGAATGTGTTTGTGTGAGCCGCTGCTTAGCAGTTGACATGATGAGCCTTGGAGCTTATATAAGTGATGCAAGTTCGATTCTAGCAATTTAATCTATTAATAAAAAATTTACAAGGTCAGATCTTCACAATGGTGTTGAGAATGTGTTCGTGTGAACCGTGGCCTAGCTGTTGACATGTGGAGCCTTGAATGTCAAGCTTGTGTCTTTTTGAACTATTCATTAAATGCTACGAGATCAGTTATTTATCATGATGACACTGAAAATGGCCTTCACTTTGAACCATGACCTAGCAATTTGCATGTTGATTTGTGGTGCTCATGCAAGGGATGCAGGTTTAATTCTGGCTTGTGTCCTTTTTTGAACTAATTATTTAAAAAATACTATTTATTCATCATGGAGCTGAGAATGTGTTTGGGATGGAACTGTGGCCTTGCAGACTTGATGCACATGCAGGAAACGTGTGTTTAATTCTGGCTTGCATCATAATCCCCTTTTCTCCATCTCTCTCCTCAAATAACCTGTCTCCTACCTACTTTCACTGGGTTATATATTGAAAGCAGATGCACTGACAATAAATCTTCACACTTAATAACTTGCAACACCTGTTATAATCACTTCATAAAAAACATAAACTGAAGGCGTAATGAGCAGCAAGCGTTATATTCAGAAGTCTTTTGTAGGCTGATGTGGAGCTCATAGAGGCACTAACTGTCCATTAGTCTGAGAGCCAGGAGGTTAATTAGTGTGAGTGATTGAGTGAAGGGACAGGAGGAGCGCTATGGCCGCCGTTCCACTGCAGCTCCTTCATGCAGAGACACAAGGACACTCCAAAAAACATCACTGGCTGAAAAGATGCCTCTGACTCGTCAGCATCACCTGGGCGTACCTGTGCTGCTCTCACGGTAATCACCGCCAATTAGGACAACAGCCTCGCTTGGAATTCACAAAAGATAACCATCAAGAAGTAAATAACCAAGGCTAGGCTTTTGGTCCACAGCTGTCCTGATGCAAAGTGAGCTGTTTGCAAACCTAAATCCTGTCATCTTATCAACTACAGATATACCGGTATATGGCAGA